TATTGTCAGGAGGGAGCAGTCGCTGGAGAAGAATATCATGTTTGGTAAGTTGGAGGGTCAGAGAAAAAGAGGAAGACCCCCAATGAGATGGATTAGCGAAGTGGCAGCATCAATGGACTCGAGCGTGGCAACAGTAGTGAGTTTGGCCCAGGATTGGGCAGTGTTTTGTTCTGCTATGCATAAGGTCACTATGGGTCGGTACTGACTCGATGACAACTAACAACAACAACAAGAGAGGTCACTGAAGTTTTTCTAAAGGGGAGGAAGGAAGAGAAGTGAGATGAGATGCTGGGGCTTGGACTTCTCCCCTGTGGTAGGGCCCTCTGATCTGATAACAGCCATCCTGGGGGCAGGAATAACGCACATAACCATGAGAATCAGGTTGATTTGGGTGACTCCACAGATTCTTCTACCTCTGGAAATCCATCCCCAGCTTTAACCCCTGCTGCTGTGGAACACGAAGTTGACAATCAGCGCAAGGAGTACTACAGCAAAGGAAGATACCTGAGGTCCTGCTCCCACCCAGAGCTTAATGACACAGATGATAAACAGCAGAACAGTGAGAGATGGGCCAGGCCAGGCTGGTGGCAGGGGACCTGGGACCAACAGTCTGATAGTTCCCAACCCTGATCCATGATGCTTCCAGGCTCTACCAGTTTGACCTGGGTGATTGAGAAGCCAATGAGCACTGAGGTCCGGCTGCTGAACCACAAGAGGAGCCCTTTTCAGGATCACAAGACCTGTGAGAATTCCCTGACAATGACAGTGACAACAAAGCAGCCAGGTGAGGTCACCAGGCTACCATCTCCCTGGGCCTGTATCCTTGCAAGTTCCTACTCCCACCCTCTGACTCCTTTCAAGCCATTAGATCAGCAATAGATAATAAGATAGTTCCTAATCATCCTAGAATCCAAAGCTGACCATTGTGTAGGAGAGGAACCAGGTCAACCCAGAAAGGGTTGAGACCCCTCCAACTTGGTACCACCTATGGCCTTAGGGCTTGTTTTTGACTTCTTTCTACCACCCCACCCTACTGCAGACACTTCCCTGTCCTCTGAGGACAGTGGGTCCCGAGTGGTATCCAGCTGGTGTCAGTGGCTGGGACTGAGCTGGCGAAGTCCAGGTGGCTCGGAGCGGGAACCTGGAAGCAACCAAAATCCCCCAAACCGGAGCGAGCGTAGATGTGAGCCTGAGCAGGGGCTAGGGAGGTCAAGGGTCTTTGGGGGTCTTGAGGGGTCACATGGGCAAGAGCTCATGTCTATTGCAAGGAAGCCACACTAACCCAATTCCTTCTCTCTAGACGAAACCTTTCAGCTTCAATGGAGTCAAGAGACCAAACAGCGGAAGATGTGACCAGCTGGGAATGGGGTGGGGGCAACTTCCCCTGTCCTTACCACCCTAGGGGTGCACAATAAAGAGAAGAGCAGGAATCTGGGTACTGTGAATTGAATGCTCAGACTAGACCTGGACCCTCTGTGAAGAGAGGGGAGGCGGAGGGAAATTCATACACAGGAAACCTCAAGCAGGGAGAACAGAAAAGCAAGCTTGGAGCAACCCAGGACCTGGACTCCACAGAAACTTAGCTGCTCAAGGAGGCCCAAGCTACGGTTAGATGGCAAGGACTGGTGTGATTAATTCAGCCTATCTCAAACTTACAACTGTCATCTTCTTTCATTTCTTCAAGAACCCAGGCGGGAGGGGTTCTCATCCCCATTTTCCAGATGAAGAAACTGAGAAACAAGAGGGTTTGCCCAGGGCCATACAACTGCCGAGTGACAGAAATGGAACCTGCTAGACTCCAAAACTTCAACCACAAAAGGAGAAGCAGAGAGATACTCTAGGGTCTGGTTAGGAAGGTGACAGCAAATAGTCTCTTAGGGCGGGCCTGTGGCTTCTCTGATCTCAGGACCCATTCTGAACAGGCCCCACCCCTGCCCCTCCCAGGCTTGCCTGGAAGTGTTGGGTGAGAGCTCCTCCTAAGACTCCCCTTCCCCCTGGGGAAAGAATTGGGCACCCCCACCCCACCCCCCAACCTTACCCAGGAAAGGACCCTCTCCATTATTATTTCTCCTTCTCAACTCACCTGCCCACCTGGCCTCCAGGGCCTGTGGTCTGCAGTAGCCTAAGATGACCGTCAAGCTGGATTTCGAGGAGTGTTTAAAAGACTCGCCACGGTTCCGGTAAGTATGGGTAGGTGTGGAGATGAGTGTGGGGGGAGAGGACAAGGTCCAACCACCCCTTTCCCCCCAAGTTCACCAGGCCAGATCTTCTTCCAGGTAGTAGGCCTCAAAGGGACAAAACTGAGTTTATAAGCCCAAGTAACTCTGCTGTCAAATATGGCTACTCCGGGGCTCTCTACCCTCTGCATCCAGCCTCCCTCTTACCCTCAAAACTGGCATTCCCTCCTCCTCTCACTGAGACCCCTGCCCTCCCCCACCCCCCAGCTCCTGCTCTAGGGTGGTTAGCAACTTCCTGCCTTCAACACATCCACCCTCCTTCTACCCTTCCTGCTCTGGCCTGAGCAGCTGTAGTTCCTAGTCTGTGTGCAGAGTGAGCACGCAAGGGAGGGCATGGGGGCAGGCCTTCTTAACCCAGCAACTCTCTGTCTGCGCACAAGACCCCACCACCCAACTCCAGTCCCCAACCTTGAGGAGGCTAACAGAACAGATGTGACCCTAACCCTCCTTTCCCAGAGCCTCTATCGAGCGGGTGGAAGCTGAAGTATCAGACTTGGAGACCCGTCTGGAAAAGGTGATCAAGACCCAAGAGTAGGATGAAAAAGGAGCGGGATTAGGATTCGAAAGGCAGAGGCTGGGGTCAAAATTGGTAGGGACTGAGTCTGGGGTAGATATTTGGTGGTCTACAGAGAAGCAAAAATCATGGGTCTCTGCCCTTGAGGACCTCAAGATCCTAGCACAGCAAAGGTTCATTGTTCAGCTACCACTACCTGCATTGTGCCAGGTCCTAGGTTTTTGTGGAGAGCTAGAACATTTCTACCCCTAGGGAACCCACAGACTGTGGACAGAAAAACCAGTGAAACATTTTAACACTGTGCCAGGAAGCTTCAAAAATTTCATGGGAAAATAGAATTAAAAGATAATGTAATTTTTATACTAACTTTTTGAAGCTCTCTTGTACAGTTAAAGCCTTCCTTGACCACTCTTCATTAAATAGTGCACACCCACACCCATACCCACACACTCCCTTCCTGCCTTAAAAAAAATCTGTCTATTCCAGTTCATAGAGATTCCTGATGTGTAAAACTGTGCTCTACAGGGTCGTCTTTCTTTTCTTTTCTTTTTTTAACATTTTATTGTGAATTGAGTGAAGGTTTCCAGAGTAGTTCATTAGTTTACATAACAGTCAACATATTTGCTTCACTATATGGTTGCAATCCCCTCCATGTACCAACAGTTAACAGTATTTACCTCTATTCACTTGAACTATTGCATTCTTCCCTGTGTCTCCGCTACCTTTATACTTCCTCAGCTAACCTCCCTCTTGTATATTGCCTGTCCTGTAGCCCATGTTAACATGTGTCTGCCCTCTGTCCATGAGTAATTTTCCATCTCTCCTCTCCCCAATAACCATCATAGGTTTTTTTCTTTCTTTTTTAACATTATGGAAAACTGTATTCCAATAAATTCATCAAATTGAATCTAAAAAACTTAAACATTCCAATTAAAAGGCACAATTGATTGGACTATTTTCTTCCTTTCTAATATAGATGTTTGGTGGTGGTTATGTGCCACTGAGTCAGTTCCAACTCATAGTGACCCTGTATAGGGTTTCCAAGGTTGTCAATCTTTACTGGAGCAGAAAACCTCATCCTTCTACCAGGGAGCGCCTGGTAGTTTCAAACTGCTGACCTTGATGTTATCAGCCCGATTTGTAACCACTGTGTAACCAGAGCTCCTTAATATAGATAGATGTTCAGTGCCATAAATTACTCCTAAGCAGTGCTTCAGCTGCATTTCACAAAAATTTGGTAGTTTCATTCAGTTCAGAATATTTTCTAATTTCCATTTGATTTTTTAAAGTGCCATAGAGTCGGTTCCAACTCATAACGACCCTGTGTAGGATTTCCAAGACTGCATTTTTTAAAAAAAGTTTTTATTGTGAATTGAATGATAGTTTACATGGAAGAACATTGGGTTTATACTCATCCTATTGTATTTAGTTTCATTGCAATGATTAAAGTCCCCTCCTTGCATCATTCAACAATATTTGCTTCTATTCCCTCTGAGTTTTTGTTTTTGTTTTGGATGTACACAAAATCACTCAGGAATGCATCATTATTTAAACAATCAAAAGGCATGCCTGCCTCCTAGCCGCTAGCACCCAGCCTTTCTCGTTCCATGAGTCTGGAGTCCTTAGCCGCTTTATCTCTCCATGTCTTCATCTCTGCCTCCATCTCTGGTATCGTTGCTTCTCTGGATAGGGTCCTACATTCTGCTCATGCTCTTCTCCCTTGATGGTACTATGTTCCTCTGTTCCCTGAATGCAAGATTAACTACTCCCCCCTTTATGCTACAAAACTTCTACCTTTACAGTTGTGACCATGGTAATTGATCATGATAACAATTATTCACTATTGAATCCTTAGACTCTGATCCCCATCTCCTTTCACCAGACTTGTCTAGACAAGATGAAAACTATTCAGTGGGCATTTAGACTGTGTCTTTTAGTAAGAAAACCTTTTCTTAACTTTTTGCATTAGTCTCAACAATATTTGTCACTTTGTGATTGACTGATTTCACTCAGCATAAAGTTCTTCAGATTGACCCATGTTGTGAGGTGTTTCACAGATTCATTATTATTCTTTAGTGTTGCATAGTATTCCATTGTGTATATGTACCGGGTTTTTTTGTTTGTTTTTTTACCATTCTTCTGTTGATGGACATTTTGATAGCTGTCTCTATCTTTTTGATATGTCTCTTGTAGACAGTATATTAAAGTATCCTGTTTTCTTATCCATTTTGCTCTCTCTGACTCTTGACTGGTATATTTAATCCATTTGTATTCAGTGTAATTATTGATAGGTATGAATTGATGGCTATCATTTTACTGTGTAGTTGTTGGGTTTTTTTTAGGTATTGCTGGTTTCTTTGTTCCACATCATTTTCTGATCTGAGTTCATTTTATTTGTGGGTTTTCTTTTCAGTTTCATTTCTCATGTTAATGTTTACTAAATCTTTCTGATTTTCATTTTAATTTTTATATTCAAGTTTACTGATTCCCCCCATTTAAAACAGTCTGTTTTATCTTGAAATCTGCTCGACTTCCTTGCCATTTGGAAGTTTTGTATATGCACTATTCCCTCTTTTTGCTTTGTAATTGACTTCATTATAAATTGGTATCTCTGGTTCCCTATTTTCAGTCTTGTAGGTTTGTTTTCCTTAAAATATCTGGATTGAGTTCTGGGTGATGTTGTCATGTATGATCATTTCAAGTCGTTGTCTGCTTTGTTGAGTCTCAGTCCAAAGACCACCCTTTACAATTTTTGGTAAAGTTAGTTTGGTCATTACAAAACCCTTTAATTTCTGTTTATCAGGACATTCCAATGTTGCTGTTGTATTTGACGGACAGCTTTTCTGGTTATCTGATTCTTGGTTGGCAATTTTTTTTTCTTTCAGAGTTGCTTTCTTGCCTGCATGGTTTCTGTAGAGAAGTCAGAGCTTAGTCTTATTGGTTCTCCTTTGTAAGTAATTTCATTTTTCCTGAGTTTCTCTCAGGATTATTTCCTTCTCTTTGGTTCTGCAAAGTTTGATTATGATATGTTTGGTGATTTTCCTTGGGGATATATTATGTTTAGGGTTCATTCAGCTTCTTTGTATACTTATCTTCTTGTCTTTCATGATATTAGGGAAGTTTTCTTCCAACACCTCATTGACAGTTTCCTCTGGTTTTCCTATTGTCTCTTTGTGTTTTGGAATTCTGATCACTCATAAGTTGTTCCTCTTCATGGTATCCCACATAACTCTTAGTCTTTCTTCAGATTTTTTCATTCTTTTTTCAGATTGTTGTTCTAGCATACTAGTATTGAGAGATTTTTCTTCAAGGTCTCTAATTCGGGCTTCCATTGCTTTGTATCTACTCCTTTGCCCTTTCAATGTATTGTCCATTTTTGGAACCTTAGAATTAATTTTCTGGATTTCTAATTGCAGGTTTGATATTGTTTCAAATTTTGCAATTATTTTGTCTGTTTGTTCGTGTAGTGTTTTCCTGAATTATTCTAGTTTGTTTCTTTTTCTTCTTCTTCTTCTTCCTGTGTTCTGCTTGTTTTCCTTGCTCTTTCTTTCAGTCCTTTGTTGTTAAGTGCCGTCGAGTCAGTTCCGACCCATAGCGACCCTATACAAGGTTTCCGAGGGTGTAAATCTTTACGGGAGTAGAAAGCCTCATCTTTCTCCCACGGAGCTGCTAGTAGTTTCGAACTGCTGACCTTCAGGTTCGCAGCCCGATTCGTAACCACTACACTACCAGAGCCCCTGAAGGTACCTAAATGTCATTCTTTTTAATTCTTTTTCAGTTAGTGCCATTACCTTTTCTTCCTCAGAAATGTTTTCTGGCTCTGCATCTTGGTCATTTGTTTGAGCCATTCTCTCTTCTGTGTGAACTAAAATTGTATTTAACTGATGATTCTGTGTTGATGTATTCTTAGGCTCTCATCAGTACGCTTCAGAGCAAAGTGATTACAAATCAGGCTGCGAACCTGAAGGTCAGCAGTTCAAAAATACCAGCCACTCTGCAGGAGAAAGATGAGGCTTTCTGCTTCCATAAGGATTTACAGCCTCAGAAACCCCGTACAGGGTCGCTATGGGTCAGAACCGACTCGACAGCACTTAACAACAAAAACAACACAAAGTGAAAAGAGGGACAGAAAAACGGAGCTATAGAAGAAGAAAATAAAAGGAAGAAACAAACAAACAAACAAAAACTTAGAGAAACCAAGGAGAGGGAAGATGAAAAGAGACAAACAGAGTAGTACAGAAATATCAAAAGGGGGAAAAAAGAAGAGGTCAAATGAGAAACTGAAAAAGGAAGGAAAAACAAAAGTAGAGATAGAAAGGATAAAATTCAAAGGAGGAGAAAGAATAAACAAAAAAACCAAATCCCAAAACAGGAGAAAATTCTGGGGGGCTCTTGCAAGCCAAGGAGCTCACGAGGTGTGTATGGGAAGGATGTGACAGCAGATTTCCTGGCCTTAGATGGAGTTCCTAGCAGTCTCAGCATTATCAATTCGGAAGTAGTCTATGGCGGCCCTTAATGGAGCTAGTTTTAGAGTCTGATAGGACCACAGGACAGCTGAAGGCAGAGTAGTGGTTAAATGCTGGTCTGGTGGTTCTGCAGGTTCTATAGGGGTGGAGCCAAGCCTGACAGCTTTGTTGTCTGCTTTGTTGATTCTCAGTCCAAAGACTGCCCTTTACAATTTTTGGTAAAATTGGTCTGGTCATTACAAACCAGGCACCAAAGTGGTACACCAAAGTGGCACAGCTGACCCCTGCCTCACACTGGTGTAGCTCCACAGGGTTTTCAGTGCTGATTTTTCAGAAGTAGATAACCAGGACTTTCTTCTGAGTGGACTCAACACCCCCCCCCCCACACACACACACTTTTTTGGTTAGCAGCTGAGGACATTAACCATTTGCACCATCCAAGGAATCCCATCCCCTCTTACTCTGCTTCATTTTTTTACTATAGCACTTTACTTAATCTGACATGTTAAATGCTTGCTTGTTATATTAGTTTTCTATTGCCATGTAACAAATTTTCACACGTTTAATAACTTAAAACAATAGTAATTATTATCTCACAGTTTCTGTGAGTCCAGAGTTTGGGCTCAGGTTCTCTCTGTCTGCAATCAAGGTCTTGGCCAGGGCTGCAGTCTCATCTGAGGTTTGGGGTTTTCTTCCAAGTTCACAAGATTGCTGACAGCATTTAATTCTTTGCTATTTTAGAACTGAGGTCTTCATCTCCTTGAGGCTGCCCATAGTTCCCTGCCACATGGTCCTCTCCCCAGGCAGTTTTCATCATCACAGCTTGCTTATAGTGTGTGTTAGCAAGACAGACTCAATATATACTATACCGCACAGATGTCATCATCACAGCAAGCCAGGGCCAATATATATGATAATGTAATCACAGGATGATGACATTTACCATCCTTGTCACACTCTGTTGGTTAGAAACAAGTCACAGATCCTGCTCACATGCAAGCAGAAGGGATTACACATGGATGTGAATCATGGGGAGTTACCTTAGCATGTGGGTTATCTTAGCGTGTGTCTCCCACAGTTGCCTATTTGTTGTTTGTCTGTTTTCCCCACTAGGATATAAATGCTGAGGACAGAGATTTTTATGTTTTGTTTTCTGCTTAATCCCCAATGACTATCCCAGGGTCTGATAGCGAGTAGGTGACCAATTACTTGGTACTGAAATAATGTTCTGTAAGTACAGAATTGGACAAGTACAAATCGGAAAGACTAGAGAATTCAATACCAGCCATGTGGAAAAATTCTTGTGAGTCAGATAATGAAGTATAGTTTCTAGGGAGCTTTAGGTCCAAGCAGGTGGGGACAGGACAGCGAGAGATGCTTGGGAGTGGACAAGGATAGATACTGTGAAGATCAGCACTGGTCTTGGTGACAGATTGGGGAGAATGGGCAGACACAGAGCAGACACGGACAAAGGTAGAGGTGAGAACAGATGGACTGAGCTGGAGAAAAGTATAGACAAGGCTGGAAAGGAGGGGCACAGACCTGGGGGTGAGGAAGTGGCACAAAGTGGGAGCATCATCAGGGGTGGTGGCAGTCATCACAACTTCCTGTTGCCTTTTGTTGTTTCCCAGCTCCTCAAGCTGGGTACCTGCCTCTTGGAAAGTGGGCATCATTACCTTGCCGCCAGCCGTGCCTTCATCATCGGTATTTGTGATCTGGGCCGCCTGGGCCCTCCAGAGCCCATGATGGCGGTATGTGGAGGGTCCCAACTAGGGTAGGATGAGGTCTGGGATATAAGGAGGTCTTATAGATGGGGAGGGTTGACTTTGGAGTCTGCAGGGCCCAGGCATGAACAGGGCTGGGGCTGCCACTAGAGACAATTATAGCAGACTGGGTCAAGGATCAGGGCCCATGCCCACCCAGTACTCTCTCTGTGCCTCTTCTTACCTAGGAGTGTCTGGAAAAATTCACTGACAGCCTGAACCACAAACTGGACAGCCATGCAGTGAGTGTGAAGTGGTAGGACTGGGCAGAAGGGTGGATAGCATGTCTATGGTCCTGACTCACATTCCCAACTTCTGCTTTCCCTCAGGAGCTTCTAGATGCTACTCAACACACACTGCAGCAGCAAATCCAGACCCTGGTCAAGGAGTGAGTTAGGAGGGGACCGGGACTTCTTGACCAAAAACCAGCCCTCTAGCCCTCTTCCCATTACTACAGGGCCATCCCAGAATTCCATCACTACCTCTTTTCCCAGATGTCTATGAGATTGAGAGTTTCAGGTGGCTTGCCTCCTGTCCCTGCCGTTTCAAGGATCCCTTTGGAATTCAGATTCTATATAGGCTAACCAAGGGCAGTGGTGGTTCACTTGTAGAAGTCTTGCCTTCTGTGAAGGAGATTCCTAGCCATTTTACCCCATGCACAAGTCTCAGCGGAGCTTCCAGACTAAAACAAACTAGGAAGAAAGACCTGGCCATCTACTTCTAAAAATCAGCTAATGAAAACCCCATGGATCACAATGGTACCGATCCCATTGTACATGGGGTCACTATGAGTCGGGGTCTACTTAATGACAATGAACAACAACATACACTAACTGACAGGACTTGAATGTGTCTTCTCTTTGAATCTCTCTGTGGGAGGCAGATGGGTGTATCTGTATTTCTGTATTAATGCCCCACCTCCTCAGAGGTCTCCGGGCTTTCCGAGAGGCTCGTCGAGATTTTTGGCGGGGGGCTGAGAGCCTGGAGGCTGCTCTTACCCACAACGCAGAGGTTCCCAAGCGCCGGGCCCAGGAGGCTGAAGAAGCAGGAGCTGCTCTGAGAACTGCTCGAGCTGCGTACCGTGGACGGGCATTGGATTACGCCTTGCAGGTGCCTGCCCTCAACCCGTCCTGCTGGGGTGTCAGATCAGAGGCTGGGGCAGTCCTGGTCTTATAGTGGGAGGGCAGCTATGCTTTCCAGACTGACCTTAGGTCTTTTGAGGCCCTTAGATCAATGTGATTGAGGACAAGAGGAAGTTTGACATCATGGAGTTTGTGAGTTGTGGTGGCAAGGGTAAAGGGGGAGGGATGGCCTGTGAACAGCAGGAGGGGAGAGGGAGAGAGGGCTCTTTGCTTAACTCTACCCTTCTTCCCACACCCAGGTGTTGTGCTTGGTGGAGGCCCAAGCTGCCCATTTCCAGGAAGGCCATGAAGAGCTGAGCCGGCTGGGCCAATATCGCAAGGAACTGGGTGCCCAGGTAGCAAGAGTTGGAGGGAAGCTAGGGGACTCTGAGATGAAACTCTCCTGGCATCGTTGGGAGAAGCCAGGGGTGAATGAGATGTATCTCCTATGCCCAGTTGCACCAGTTGGTCTTGAATTCAGCACGAGAGAAGAGGGACATGGAGCAGAGACACGTGCTACTGAAACAGAAGGTGAAGGGGACTAAGACTGCGACTGGGGGCAGGCAGGCGGGCCTATGGCCTCATTCTCTGCCCAGCCCAGTTGCCCTCTGACCCTCTTGTTCCCTTAGGAGCTGGGTGGGGAGGAGCCAGAGCCAAGCTTAAAGGAGGGTCCTGGTGGCTTGGTCATGGAAGGACATCTCTTCAAACGGGCCAGCAACGCTTTTAAAAAATGGAGCAGGTGAGATGATGCACATGGGGTCACCATGATGTGGACTAGACTGAACATCAACTGTGTTTCTTTTAGGTGAGGTAGAGTGAGTGGGTGTGCATGCACTACTTTATAAAGAGTGGTTAGGGAAGGCCTTACTATGTGAGAGCTTTCAAAAAGGTCATGGAAAAATTCCATGATCTTTTAATTCCATGTTTCCATGAACGTTTTTAAAGCTCCCTTGTATTGTGATTAAATGTTTCACTGTTTGTTTTTTCTGACAACAATCTGTCCCCAATCAGTCAGACCATTAAATTTTTTGTTTGTTTGAGTGGTTATAGTATACTACACAGAACCCTGTCTTCATAGCAAAGATAGACAATCAATATACTAATTAAATTTTATGTTATTTTAGAAGGTAAATAGTGCCATGTTGTTATTAGGAGCCATTGAGTCAGTTCTGACTACTAGTGACCCTGTATAGGGTTTCCAAAGCTGTAAATCTTTATAGGAACAGAAAGTCTCATCTTTCTTATGGAGCAGCTGGTGGGTTTGAACTGCTGACCTTGTTGTGGTTAGCAGTCCCAGTGCTTATCATCTAGTGCCATCAGTGCCCCCAATAGTGCCATGTTGTTGTTTTTAAGTGCCGTCGAGTTGGTTCCAACTCACAGAGACCCTGTGTGTAGGGTTCCTGAGGAGCAACTGGTGAGCTTAAACTGCCAACCTTGCAGTTCAATTTAAACCGACTTTGCAATCCAGCGCATTAACCCGTAGCCCCACACCAGGACTCTAATAGTACCACAGGAAAAAAAAAAAAAAAAAGTAAGATGAGAGAGATGTGAAAACCTGGGAGGGATTGCCATATGAAATAGTGGATCCAAGTGGGCGTCACAAGATGGCGACTTCTGTGCAAAGACTGGAAGGCTGTATGGAGGAAGAACGTTCTGAGATGCCTAGAGTATAAGGGGAACAAAGAAGAGGCTGTGGGCCTGGACAGGGTCAGGGAGAAGGAAGTAGTAGGAGACAAAGCCAGAGTCAACAAGAGTGTGGATCACTGTTGGGTCTTGTAGACCTTTGTAGGGATTGGGCTCTAAGGAAACTGGGGACCCACTGCAGGACTTGGAGCAGGGTGGTAATAGTCTCTGACTTGACTCCTTCCCCCTCCAGGGTCACTACTAGCACATAAAGGGTTTTTGTACAAAATTTTTAATGGGGCCATTCCCCAAGATACTTCCATTTGTCAAAAAAAAAGGCAATTGACTTACTTGATTAGAAAACATCTTTTATTTCATAAACCTATCAAATCTGGGTTGGCTAAGGTGTGAATAGCCCCTGCTTAGATGTCCACCCTTCTCTGGAATGTCTCATGAGACGTTCAGCCCAAGTCTCTCTCCTCTCAACCAAACCCTTGTGGAGCACAAGGCATAGCCTCTCATCTGTCCCTGCCCCAGGTCTCATCCTGATGGTCTCTTTGTCTATAACTCTGTTTCTATCTGCTCCAGACGCTGGTTCACCATTCAGAGCAACCAGCTGGTATACCAGAAGAAGTATAAGGTGGGTAGGCCCAGGACCCTGGATGCCCAGGTCCCAGGGAGATGCAGCCTTTGCTTGTTACTAGCTGCATGGCTGCCTTTTTACTGCTTCTCCCTGCCAGGACCCTGTGACCGTGGTGGTGGATGACCTTCGGCTTTGTACAGTGAAACTCTGCCCTGACTCAGAAAGGCGGTTCTGCTTTGAGGTGGTGTCCCCCAGCAAGTGAGTACAGGTCCAGGGGGGAGAGTCAAGGATTTGTTAACTTGGGAGTCAAAGCTAATCACAGTGGCACCCCTGGAGCAGGGTCTCAGAGGTATCCAGACATTAACCCTTTGGTGGTTGGATTATAGGGGTAATTGGGATAGATGGTCCTGAGTAGTGGGTGATATTTAGGATGACATTATCAATTGGTACAGAAATATTTCAATACAACCGATACCAGTTGAATACCAGCTGAATGGCAACCTGCCCAGCTTGGTATATTACTCCACATGCCTTAATTGCTCTCCCCCATCTCCCTCACTCCTCTGGCCCAGGTCCTGCCTCCTCCAGGCTGACTCAGAGCGTCTGCTTCAGCTGTGGGTCAGTGCTGTGCAAAGCAGCATCGCTACTGCTTTCAGCCAGGCTCACCTGGATGACAACCCCCGGGCTCCAGGCCAGGTACTTTCACATTGGAGTGTAGGACCAAGCTATTTGGGGAGGTGGGGCACCCCTTCTTGAGGATACCTTGACTATCCTCTCTTCCCCTGTCTTTCCCAGGCCTCAGGACACCTGGCCATAGGCTCTGCTGCTACCCTAGGCAGTGGTGGGATGGCCAGGGGCAGGGAGCCTGGGGGTGTTGGGCACGTGGCAGCCCAGGTGCAGAGCGTAGATGGTAATGCCCAATGCTGCGACTGTCGAGAACCAGCCCCGGAGTGGGCCAGCATCAACCTTGGTGTCACCCTCTGCATTCAGTGCTCTGGCATCCACAGGTCATCTCCCCAAAGTCCCACATGTGGGCCCATCCCTTCCAACTGCATTCAACCTTCTCCTGCTCAGATAGAGCCCATCTGCAGGCTGCTTCTCTTCCTGCCTGCCCTGCCGTCCTCTCTTAGATTCTAGCCTGTCACTGGCCATCAGGTCTGTGCTGAGCCTACTGGGACATAAGATGGACCTATGTAGACCCTCAGTCTGGGGCAGAGTTGGGGGACCCCCAGAAATTATCAGCTGTGTTGGAGGAGTATGGAGAAACAGAGGTAGAAGAGTAGAGAGAAAAGGTCATGAGCCTTTAGCAAGTTTTACAAAGTCCCCCCCCCATTCAGTTTGATGGAAGGAGGGCAGGGTATGGTATGTACAGAGTTGTCTAGGCCCATGAGACAAGGGAGGTGGCTGGAGAGGATGAGGGCCTTAAAGTAAAGTGCAGGGAAGAGGGAGCAGTGAGCTGGCAGGATCCTTCCAGAACCAGGCCAAGGCCACACAGCTGCAGCCACCCTGCTGCCTCCTGGTCCAGTTCCCATTCCCCCAGGCAGGACCTTGCTACCAAGTCTTTTCAGGAGCATCATCAGCCTCCCCACCCCAATGCCCGCCCCACAGAGGGCCTAATTCCCACTTTGGACCCCCAGGAGCCTTGGCGTCCATTTCTCCAAAGTCCGGTCTCTGACCCTCGACTCATGGGAACCAGAACTAGTGAAGGTGACTTGGCTGGGATAGAGTGAAGACTTGGGGTGGGCTGGGGACAACAAAGGGCTGAAGAGCTTGAGAGCACACTCACCAGCCCCCTGCCTGTCTGTCTGCATCTGCTTGGGTCCCTTGAAGCTGATGTGCGAGCTGGGAAATGTAGTCATCAACCAGATCTATGAGGCCCGCGTGGACGACATGGCCGTGAAAAAGCCAGGACCCAGCTGCTCCCGGTAAGGCGTGGAGGGAGGGGTCTGGAGCTGCCATCCATGGGCCCAGGTGGTGATGAGGAGGGTCTGGGATGGGAAGGGGGAAGACTGTCCCCTTCCCCTCTCCTAGGCAGGAGAAAGAGGCTTGGATTCATGCCAAGTATGTAGAGAAGAAGTTCCTGACGAAGCTTCCTGAAATACGAGGGCGAAGAGGCCGGGGACCCCCTCGGGGGCAGCCTCCGAAGCCTCCAAAGCCTCCCATGAAACCCCGGCCAGGGAGCTTCCGACGCAAGATAGGTATATGGGCTAGTTGGGTCTTCATGGAGGTTCTTCTGTGTGCAGAGTCTCTGTCAGGCCAGAGGGGAGTGGGTACATAACATACGAGGTCCAGGTCTTCCCCATAAGAATGCTGGGGACCAGAGAAAACTGCCCTGCTTTTATAAGGGAAGAGTTTGAGAGAGCTACATTGGTTTATGGCACTAAGAATAGGAGAAGCATGGGGCTAGGAGTAGGTAGGGAAAGCTCTGGGGGTCCACAGCCTAAGAAAAGGCAGGAGTGGGAATGAGCTCATCCATGACATCCCAGCCAGTCTGGGTGGTTGGCCAGGATGAGATACAGGACACTGTCTGTCCCTCATACCCGGCAGCCCCTGCCCTGCCAATAAACACCCCTCCACACACACAGGAACACTCACACACATGCACTGCCCAACTCCACCTCCTGTCATGGGCTCCAGCGTCACGAAGGCCTCATCACAAATTAGAAGTGATCTTAATTTGCCCTCGACAACTAACCTAATGGTGGGCTGTTTGAACTCATCCAGCAGCACTACGAGAGGAAAACCTGGCCATCTGATTCCATAAAGGAAGAGTATAACCAAGAATACTTATAGAACAATTCTACTCTAGCACATAGGGCCGTCGTGAGTTAGAATCCACTCAGCGGCAATGCATTTGGGTTTTGAGTCCATGACAGTCTCAGGAAGCCATGCCAAGGGTTTCCCTCTAGGCTGATTTGCCTAACAGAATGAAATCCCTCTAACAGAACACCCCACTGAGGACCTGGGCAGCCTGCACTCTGGAGCCCTGCTGTTTCGAGCTGCTGGGCATCCTCCATCCCTTCCCACTATGGCCGATGCCCTTGCCCATGGAGCCGATGTCAACTGGGTCAATGGAGGTCAAGAGAATGCCACACCACTGATCCAGGCCACCGCTGCTGTGAGAGCCTTGTTACCTCCTCATTCCACCCCTCACCCTCCCTGGGACCCCCACTCCATAGAGATTAATGTTGTTGTTAAATTCTGTCAAGGCGGTTCCAACTCCTAGAAACCCTGTATAGGATTTCCAAGGAGTGTCTGGTGGGTTTGAATGGTTGACCTTGCAGTTGGAAGTCCAGTGTTTTTCCTACAGTGCCACACCAGGACTCTGTAGCTTACTAAAAGAGAATGTATTGGAGACAACCTGAGTGTGAATCCAGGCTCACACCACTTACAGGAGACTTTGAATAAGTTACTAACCTGTTGTCTGTGTTAGTTTCTTTATCTGTTACATAGGGATCACATACCTCCTAAGGTTGTGCTATGGATTTAATGTGTGAATACATATAAAAAGCTATAGCAGAACCTGATGCCCACCCCACCCTCTGCATTAACTGGCCCCACTGCAAAGCATCTTTAAATCTGCCTCCAAAGATGCCACCCTGTATCGCCCTTCTCCATTCCATACAGAATTCTCTTCTGGCCTGTGAGTTTCTCCTTCAGAATGGAGCGAACGTGAACCAAGCGGACAGTGCAGGACGGGGCCCGCTTCATCATGCAACCATTCTTGGCCACACAGGGTAGGTCAGGACAGCAGAGACAGCTGAATCTGAAAGGAAGGCTTTCAGAGGAGGGGAATGCTTGGCTAAACCCGACTGTCCTCTTCCAGCCTTGCCTGCTTGTTCCTGAAACGAGGAGCCGATCAGGGGGCTCAGGACTCTGAAGGCAGGGACCCTCTAACCATCGCCATGGAAACAGCTAATGCTGATATCGTCACTCTGTAAGGATGCCTGTAGGGGTGGAGCTAGTGCATTGATTGATGGTTCATGTGGAGCAGGGCTAAAGCAACCACGCCCTTCCAAGCGTGGCCCAGGGAAGGGTGAGGCCAGGCCTGGATTAGACTGGTGCCACCCAGTGACAAAGAATACTACAAAAAGTGTAGGTTAGTGCTTTGTAGTAGGAAGATGGGCGGGACAGGGTCTGAGGATGAGACATCACTCATGCATCAGCATTGCTGTCAGGCATCTTTCAAATACTAGATTCTGGGGAAATGATGAAATCAAACACAACCCAACTAAAGGAAGGTGTGTGTGTGTGTGTGTGTGTGTGTGTGTGTGTGTGGTGGGGGGGGGGATGCAAGGGAAATGAGGAAGTGTCATTCATGCTTTAATCTTCTTCCCTTCAGGCTGCGATTGGCAAAGATGAGGGAGGCTGAAGCAGCTCAGGGCCAGGCAGGTAATATACCCACCCCCACCCCGAGCCCTGGTGGCACTTTGGGATAATGCCATGGACTGTAAATAAGGTCGGTTTGAACCACAAGATTGGGGTTCAAGCTCACCAGCCGCTCCTTGGAAACCCTGTATGAGTCCGAACTGACTCGACTATACTTAACAATAAAACAATAACAGCTCCCAGCCCCAACGGCAGACCTCTGGGTTTCCTGACCACTGGGAGCCTGACTGCATTGATTAATTTATTCAGCAAATGTGTATTGGCTGTATCTCACGTGCCCCACCCTGGATACAAAGTAAAGAATGGGCAAAAGGGTTGCGCTCACGATGCAGGGGTTTCTGAAGTCTAGACCAATCCCAGCTCTTAGCTCTTCTGTGCTAGAACTCAGCCATCCCAGCCTTTCCTCTCTCCCACCTCAGGAGATGAGACCTATTTGGACATCTTCCGTGACTTCTCCCTCATGGCATCAGACGACCCAGAGAAGCTCAGCCGACGTAGTCATGACCTTCACACGCTTTGATCCCAGGCCTTTGGGGCCCAGCAACCCCTATTCACTGTCTGCTCCACCACCATTAAAGCCAGTGTGCGCGGCTCTCCCCTTCATAAATAATTTATTGGGCATCACTTTCGGTCCCGGCAGCGTGTTGAGTATTAAGTCCTCCGCAGTGCGGGGAGATGATGGGAGTGTGTGAGCTTGACTCAAACAAGAGGCCCAGGGGTGGGAAATGGAAGTTTTGGCCCGGCCCTAGCGCAGCCAGCTGTGGGGCGGGGCGGGGCTCTTGGGCTTGGGGCGACGTGGCCAGAGAGAAGCTGCGGCGTGGGGTAGGGGGGATGGCCTTCCCCTAGGGAAAGTTGGCACCAGGTTGGGATGGGGAGAGTGAGTTCTGGCCGCCCCGGCCCAAAGACATCCCCGGAATGCCAAGACTCAGCACTCGCCCCCTCGGGAATTCCCCACGGGGCCAACTAGCAGGAAACATCTGGACCTTAGGATTCTCAGAGTAACAGGTTCTAGAACCCTGACCCCGGCCTAGCTGCAGACGTGAGGTCTTGCACACTTAGGGGCCTGCGGGCCGGCGCAGCCACATCCGGGTTAACGCGCCTGAGTCATCGTCCCGACCCCACCCTTGCTTGCACCCGCCTGTCCAGCCCGTCCGCCCCGTCCCTCCAGGTCTGCTAGTACCGGCTCCCACCTCCACCCGAGCTGCGCGGGCCTCACGGGGGCGGGGGGCGGAGCGCCAAGAGGCGGGGCTGTCCCTTAAAGGGCCCTCGGCCGCTGCCCTTAGGCCACTTCCTGGGGGTAGAGAGGACCTCAGCGGCCGGCGGCTTCAGCCCGGAAAGGCGACAGCACCCAGGCTCTGAGACTCTCAGCTGCTTCCAGCAGATCATGGACCCTTCCAGCTTGAGCTGAGTGCACCATCGCTCCCCAGCCGCTACCAGCGTGGCTCCGCCATCAGTTCCCCTCAGCCCTGCCAACGTCCCTTGGGACCCGCGCCCGGAGCCCAGGCCAGGCCTCTGACCGGTCTTCAGAGCCCTGAGTGGACTTGCCCACGGCGACAGCAATCTGCTTTGGAACTCAGAAGCTGGGTCCTTCAAAGCCAGCCCTGTGCTCGCCACCGTCACCTGCTGGTTGGATTCCGGAAACCTACTATCTGAAGACCACAGAAAGGAATCGCCGACCGCTCAGAACTGTACACGTCTAGACTGAAAGCTCCGGTCCCCTCTGGCTTCCCTCTATGCTTTTCATCTATTCTATAAGCCTTTAGGACGTTTCTGGGTCCTGAAACTGCCCACCACCATTAAGTAGCAGCAGGGGGTGAGCCCCAGACCTTTCTGCTTGTACTCCAAGTGCCTGTCTCTCCAACCCAGAGAATCTGAACGTTAAAACCCAGTTCTTCACACATCCAGGAAGTTCTGCCTTTCTTCTCTTTTAGTGTCTCCTGTACCCCCAAAATTCCCCCTCCTCCTGTGCCTCCTCTGCCCCCCTCTTTTGGGGGTCCTGTGACCCTGAATGTGGGGGGCACTCTATATTCCACTACTTTGGAGACCCTGACCCGCTTCCCAGATTCCATGCTGGGGGCCATGTTTAGGGCTGGTACCCCTATGCCCCCCAACCTCAACCCGCAGGGAGGCGGCCACTATTTCATTGACCGAGATGGCAAGGCCTTCCGACATATCCTCAATTTCCTGCGACTGGGCCGCCTGGACCTGCCCCGTGGCTATGGGGAGACTGCGCTTCTCAGGGCAGAGGCTGACTTCTACCAGATCCGGCCGCTTCTGGACGCCCTGCGGGAACTGGAGACTGCTCGGGGGACCCCTGCACCCACAGCTGCCTTGCTCCACGCAGATGTGGATACCAGCCCCCGCCTGGTGCATTTTTCTGCTCGCCGGGGCCCCCACCACTATGAGCTGAGCTCCGTCCAGGTGGACACCTTCCGCGCCAACCTCTTTTGCACCGACCCCGAGTGTCTGAGTGCCATGCGAACTCGATTTGGTGTGGCCAACGGGGACAGAGCAGATGGGGGGCCACACTTTCGTTTGGAGTGGGCCCCCCGTCCTGTGGAACTCCCTGAGGTGGAGTATGGAAGACTGGGGCTGCAGCCACTGTGGGCTGGGGGCCCAGGAGAGCGGCGTGAGGTAGTGGGCACACCGGGCTTCCTGGAGGAGGTGCTGCGGGTAGCCCTGGAACATGGTTTCCGGCTGGACTCAGTCTTCCCAGACCCTGAGGACCTGCTTAACTCTCGATCTCTGCGCTTTGTCCGGCACTGAGGAGACTACTCTCAGTTTCATTGTGGGGCGGGAGAGGGAACCGGGCAGTGAGGAGTATGATTCCTTGAAGTCTTTTCCTAGCTCTTGGGGAGCTGTGAGAGTCAGGGACCCCACTACACCTGACTGGAGTCCTGATGTGGGCAGGAATCCCCAAACTTGAGCCCCCTTGAGGGTTCACACGTGGTCCAGAGAGTCTGGCTTGTTTTTGCCTGAGGCTATGCCTCCCAACCCACCAACCCAGCATCTTCATTGGAGTTCCGTGTTCAGGGTCTGCAAAAGTAGGGTACACCTCCTTGCCCAGGCTATGCCTAGCAGAGCCCCGGAGGGCTAGGGAAAGGGGTTTACTGTGGCATCTTCTGAAGAAGGTAGCCAATGAGAGGCCAGAAAACTCTGGAATGTGGGAAGGGGTGTTCTTTGCTGTGTCCCAAGCCACCTACAGAGGGAAACAGAAAGGCTGCCAGGTTGGCATGAGGGAGCTAGGAGAAACCTCATTAACTATGTTGATGGAGTGCTCCACTGAAGGGCCAAGTAGTATTTTAAAGGATCCTAGCTCACCAGCTGCTCCTTGGAAACCCTACACAAAGTCGCTATGGGTCGGAACCGACTAGACAGCACTTAACAACAACAAATTTTAGGAGTGGGGCTGGCCACGGGAAGAAGAGTGACATCTTCTTGGATCTTGGCCTCACTTCCCTTTTGGGGACCAAGGACTGTGTCCATGAGAATCAGCCAATGTGTCTGATTGATAGGTGGGGTTCCTGAAATCATGGCTTCTCACCTGTGTTACTATCTTTGGTGTCTATGTGCTGGTCCTCTTGTGCTCTCTGCATGTCCAGGCCTGTTTGCATTTGCCCAGCAACTGTTTTGGCACAGGGTGTGTCTGCAGTGTGAGTAGACTGGGAGTTTAATCACAGGGTGTGTGTGTATACGTGTATGTGTGTGTGTGTACGTTCACGCATTGTCATGTAGGCAGAGGGGCAGATGGGGTTTCAGTCACTAGGATCTTCCTAGTGAAATGAGAAATCACTGGGCTTAGTCAGGCCTCTGAGGCCTGTATGGAACTCTTGGTTGCTGGGGCAACCATGGGCTGTTGCTAGGAGATAGCTGGGGAAGGCCCAAGGCTGCCCAGGGCAGAGAGAGGAGATGAACAGAATAGTTTGGGAGAATGGGGGAGGATGTGGGAAGAGATAGTATTTGAGGTCTCTGTGAGGATGGGATGTTCATATACAATTTTTCATAAGGAAGTCACTGGTCATGTTTTATAAGAAGAAAATTATCACTGGTCATGATGTATAAGAAGAAAAATAAAATTACTTTGTAATCACAAACTTGTTAAGGCTGCTGAGGGTCAGATTACAATTGCTGTTTTCTTTCTAACAGAAGTTTTGCTTTCTCTGTCCATCTCCGGCTAGAAATGTCTCCTTTGATCCCCAGTACCTTGGACCCAACTTTCCCCCAGCCCCAATTAGGACAATGGCTTTGTTCTAGAACCTTCATGCAAAGGACTGGAATTGGGGTAACAGCATTCTCTGACCTTCCCAGTACAGGTGGGGCCGAGCCCCTAAACAGGTCTCATGTGGATGCTGGTCCTATGCGGGATTTTCCTGGCAGCTGCCCAGGCCTGTGTCTTCTGCCGCCTCCCAGCCCGTGACTTGTTGGGCCGCCTGGATAGGATATGCAGCCAGACAGAGGTCCAGTGGGAGGCATGTGAGGCTCCCAGAGACTTCTCTATCTTTGCCTTAGGTAAAGCCAGGCATCCAGAGGCAGGCCCAGTAACAGTCACCCCATACCTTTCCAGCTGTACCCCACAGCTTTCACATCAATCCACAGCCCTGTATGGACACATTGGCCTCTCCCTGTTGGTGACCTTTTCAGGAACCCCAGGCAGGCTAAGTGCCTCCTCCTGGGCTGGTGAGGGAATCTCTAGTCCTTGTCCATCTCTACAGATGAGGTGTCCATGAACAAAATCACAGAGAAGACTCATCGAGTCCTGAGAGCCATGGGTGAGGTCAAGGGGGAAGGCCGGACACAGGGACTTGGGAGGTGGGAGAAAAGAGCTGGGGGGACAGGAAGGGGTGATGAGGGCAGGTGGAGCCAGCAGGGTGTTGTCAGGGAGGCAGCAAGGGAGGGAGTAGAAGTGATCCGGCCCTACGGTGGGTGGGGTGTGGTATAGTGCCTGGGCAATATGGCTGCTCTCTGCCTCTTCAGAAATCAAAGGGTCTTTCTCCTCACTCCCTTTATATTGGGAATGGCTTCACAATACCAAGATACCAGAGTACATCAGGGAAGGTACTGATCTTATGATGGTGGTGGTGGTGGTGGTGAGAGATACCTGGGACCTTGGATGAAGAGGGGCATGGGGCTGAGTGGCTCATCCACCTCCACGTGCCTCCTCCTCGTCTCTCTTTTCAGCTCTCTGTGCTCCTGCTTGCCGTGAGTAGAGAAAGGATGGGGTGTCAAGGACAAAGGAACTCCTGGGTCTAGTAGTTAGAAGGCAGGATGGTGGGTGGTCTGGAAAGGATCCCAGAGGCGGCTCTGCCTCCCCAACTCAGGTCCTGCTATTTCCTGCAGGGGGCAGCACCACCCTATACAACTGCTCAACCTGTGAAAGCATGGACGTGCACTGTTGGACCCAAAAGCGTTGCTTCCCAGGTGCTTACTCACTTTGCGTGCCTGGCCCAACCAGATCCCAGAACCCTCTGGCTCCCCAAGTCCCGGCAGTTATGGCCCCACAAGGATTGCTCATGCCTCTGGGGTTCTCTGCAGGAAGTCACAATCTTTGGGAAGCCCGGATTCTGCTCTTCTCTGTTTTTGTTGTTATCCTGCTTCTGAGTATTCTGAGCCTCGTAGTGGAGTGAGTTGAGGGATATGGGCAGGAAACAGTCTCACTACCTACCACCCATCCTGGTTGCCTCCTATCCCATCTAGTCCTCCCATCATCCACCCTGCCTCCTCCTTTCCAGCCCCTTTCCTTTACTCTCCTAGATTACTATTTTCCCTCAGGTCCCGCCACCTCCAGACAAAAAATGAATTGTGAAGATGCAGACTGCTTTCCAGCCTCCTGTTCTTAGAGTGTATGTGTATCACTTCCACTTCCCTTGAGGAACACTCAGCCAACCCCTTAGTCCCATCCCCAAATATTCCATTTTCCACTTTATTCCAGCCCCCCAAACCAAGACTTCCCAATAATCTCAGCATCAGATGGCCTCCTGGGACTCAGGCACCCACACTGGAAAGGTCCTCCCTTCCAGCCCTCAACCAATCAGAGGGGGACAGCCAACAATGCCAGGAAAATATCTTCCAAGGAAAGAATCCCCAACAGGAACACCACAATTCCTACACCCCTGCTGCCTGTTTCCGGAAAGCTGGGGCTGTTTGCCCCAGGAACTACCCTGGATCTTCCCTTGACTGATCAGGAATTCGGGAATGAGTATTCTGGAAAACTCCCACTCTCTGTGGGGAGGCCACATCAGTCAGACTGCTGGCTTGCTGTTTTCTTTGTGAGGCTCTGGTCTCCTTGCTACCAGACCATACTAAACCTGCTGTGGATGGTCTCCACCTGCGTGGTCTCTGTCTGCAACAGGCAAGAGTAGAGGGAAGGTGCGGACTGTCACTGTAACACAGTATTTCTCAACTAGGGGTAGCTGTACAGCCCTGGAGACATTTGGCAATATCTGAAGACATGTTTTTATTTTGTCCACTTGGGTTGTGCCAGGGATACTGCTAAATATCCTACATGCACAGGACCGCCCCACCTCCCATACACAGCAAAGAATTCTTCTTTCCAAAATGTCAGCAGTGCCTCGGTGGAGAACATCTGTTATTTGGTTCCCTACCTGTCACAATTTTTGGTGAGGAGCTGAAAGATGAAAATGAAAAAGAGAGGCCTCTCCTCAACTACAGTGAGCACTGTCGGATAATCAGAAGGTCAGTGGTTTGAGGCCACCAGTCGCTCCAAGGGAGAAAGATGAGGCCTTCTGCTCCTGTCAAGATTTATAGCCTTGGAAAACCCTATACAGTGTCGCTATGAGTCTGAACCAACTCAACAGCATCTAACAACAACAACATCATCAACCACAAGTCTCAGTCCAAGATCCTAGGCCTAATCGGGGGGAGGGGGGTCCCAGCCCTCACCTAGTCCAGTGGTTTTCAAACTGAGTAAATATGGGTTCTCCACATTGGGATCACCTGTGTAGCTTTGAAAATGAGCCATGCTGGGCCCCACCTCAAGAGATTCTGAATTCAGTGGTCTAGAGTAGGGTCAAGCCCTCGTATGGCACAGGACAAGTAGTGGACTGTTAACCACAAGATCAGCAGTTCAAAGCCACCAGTCGTTCTCGGAAACTATACAGAGTTGCTGTGAGTTGGAACCAATGCAATGACACATACCAACAACAAAGAGTCGGGTGGGGGTAGGGGTTAGTCATAGAGACTCTTGGGTTGGGAAGAGGGACCCTGACCCCTTCAAACAGAGTAGCTTCTTTTTGGTTTTACATTCTAGCTCAATCCCTTCAGTTCACACATGAAAAAGAAATGAGGCCCAGAGAGTAGCAGCTTGCTCAAGATCATGTTGTTAGGTGCTGTTGAGTCAGTTTCAACTCTTAGTGCCCCTATGTACAACAGCCTGGTCCTGTGCCATGCTCACAATCATTGCTATGGTTGAGCCCACTGTGGTGGCGACGGTGGCAGTGCATCTCTTTGAGGATCTTTCTTTTTCACTGACCCTCTACTTTTCCACGCATGATGACCTTCTCCAGAAACTTGTCCCTCCTGATAGCATGTTTAAAGTACATGAAATGAAGTTTCATCATCCTTTCTTCTTAGGAGCATTCTGGCTGTACTTTATTTTCCCTTAACTTTTTATTGTGAATTGAGTGGATTTACAGAGCAGATCATCAATTTTATATTCAACAAATTATATACACTTCGCTTCATTCCAATAGATTGCAATCCCCTCCATGTAACATTAGTTATCCCACTTCCTCCCTGTAATTCTTGTTTCCATGCTACCCTCCTTCCCAACTCTTCCAAATGTTTTCCTTAGGAAAATGTTGCCCTATTGATCTTGAATAGTTGACCATTCCAAGTGAGCATATCTTACTATTGTCCTTATCTATTGCCTTTCCCATCACCCAAGCTAAGGTGTGTGTATTCTCTAATTGGTAATTACTTGCCCTTTCCTCCCACCCCTGGTATCCATTAAAGAATGTTTCTTTTAGTATGAACCTTTCATTGACTTTTATAATTGTTGTTGTTGTTGTTGTTAGGTGCCATCGAGTCAGTAACAACCCATACCGACCTTATGCACAGCAGAACGAAACACTGTCTAATCCTGGGCCAGCCTCACTATTGTTGCCACACTTGAGTCCATCGATGCTGCCACTTGGCCAATCCATCTCATTGGGGGTCTTTCTCTTTTCCTCTGACCCTCCACCTTACCAAACATGATATCCTTCTTCAGTGAC